ATAATTTCCTTTGTCATGAGGCCTGGTGGTAACCCCAGGCCAAGTCAATAGGGTTAATAGTTCAAGACTAGTCTGGGCTTCATAATGAGTTCCAAGACAGCCTTAGCTAGTGAGACTCTGTCTCTAAATAGTAATAGTAATAATAATAACAACAATAATAATATAATTCCCTTTGTCCAGCTACATGGCATGGATTCAGGTTTTCTACAAAAAAATTTGACTGATAGAACAGTGTGGTTAGGGACAATAACACCAAAAGCATGTCCTTAATGAGACTGCTGTCCAAGTAGGACAGGTGACCTGGGCCTAGGTCACTACTAGTAACCATGCTGATGCTTGAGATCCTTCTTGCAGTTCTGTGTGCTCAACCTCTGGCTTCTGAATGCTTTACCTCTTCCAGCTCAGGTTCCTCAAAGGACTAAGATGCTCCTGTCCATGAGTTCCTAGAGTCACCATCCTTAGAAATTGAGCCCCTCCAGGGAGGCTAAATGGATTACTGGCTGTTGTGAGCGTGTTAGGGGCCTTGCTTTAAGACTGTGCAAGCTGGTGTAGCTGAGGTGGCTCAGCAGGTGGAGGTGCCTGCTGACAAGCCTGAAGACCTGAGTTTAATTCCTGGGACCACATGGTGGAAGGAAAGTGCTAACTCCTACAAATTGTCTCCTGGCCTCCACTGCTGTGTCAGGTGCATGTGCACACACATGCAATAAGTAAATAGATTAAAAGGGCTGAAGAAATGACTCAGCAGTTAAAAGCATGTAGTGCTATAGTAGATAGAATCCCACTGAAACTGGCCAACAGCCCACAGAAAACAGATGATCCAGGGGCTAGAGAGATGGCTCAGCAGTTAAGAATGCTGGCTGTTCTTGCAGAAGACCCAGGTTCGAATCCCAGCATCCACATGGCAGCTAAGAACTGTCAGTAACTCCAGTTCCAGAGGATCTGACAGCCTCTTCTGTCCTCCATGGGCATTGCATGACACTGTTGCACTTACCTACATGCAGGCAGTACATGCATACACATAAAATAAAAATAATAAATAAAATATTTTTTTAAAAAAAGAAAGACAGATGATGCAGAGACCCGGAATGCCTTGCCACAACAGGAGGAAGATCTTCCCACACCTACCACCCCCTCCAAGGCTCAGGGACTTTTGTGGAAGAGGTTGATGGAAAGAATGTAAGAGCTGGAGGAAGGGGTGAAGTGTTAACAGGAAATGTTCTCTAAACACTATGCCAGCAAGCTTCCTTCCCTTGCTCATCAAGGAGTCAAGGGGGAGTCAGTTACCCCTCCCACCCAATCAGTCGACCTTAGCTTCATGTGGGGATAGGGGCAATATATAAGCCAAGAACACCAAGAGGCACCTCTCTCACCATTTTGTACGGCTGTCCAGAGGTCACAGGTTCTGTATTTGAGTGTGGACTTCACTATACAGCTGTAAATGTGGGGCACTCACTCTTCTGTAACTAAATCCCCCTCTATGCTCAGTAAATAAGTAAATAAATAAATAAACAAACAAATAAGCCAGGCGTGGTGGCACATGCCTTTATTCCCAGCACTCAGGAGGCAGAGGCAGGCGGATCCCTGTGAGTTTGAGGCCAGCCTGGTCTCCATTAGAGAATCCAGGCCAGCTGCAACTACAGAGAGACTTTGTCTCAAAAAAACCAAAAAACATAAACAAAAACAAAAACAAATACTTTTTTTAAAAGCATGTACTACTCCTCCAGAGGACCTGAGTTCAATTCCCAGCACCTATGCCAGGCAGCTAACAATCACCTGTAATTCTAGCTCCAGAGGATCTGATGCCTCTGGCCTCTGTGGACTCCAGTACTCATGTCACAGACACAGACACACACACATACATATATACATGATTAAAAATACATTTTAAAAATTTAATAATAGCCTTTAATGCCAGCACTCAAGAGGCAGAGGCAGGTGGATCATTGTGAGTTCAAGGCCAGCCTGGTCTACATAGTGAGTTCAGGTCAGCTGGGACTACAGGGAGACCTTGTCTCAAAAAGACAAAAATAAAAAAATGTAATAATAGTAAAAATGACTGCACAAGTCAAGCCAGCATGGAAGTTCATACCTGTAATTTCAGCACTCAGGAGGTTGACGCAGAAAGATCATTTTGTTTTGTTTTGTTTGATTTGAGACAGAGTCTCCCTGTAGCCACAGCTGACCTGGATTCACTATGGAGACCAGGCTGGCCTCAAAATCACAGAGATTTCGAGGGAGTAAAGGCGTGGGCCACCATGCCCAGCTAGGAAGTTCACTTTGAACCTAAGGCTAGCCTGGGCTGCAGAATGAGCTCATGTCTAAAAAAAAAAAAGACTACAAAGTCTGAGGGGGTGTGCTACGGATTGAACCAGAGCCTCGCCTCCAACTAGACAAGCCCTCTAGTTCTCTAGTCCAACCTAACAAGAATTTCTCCACTCTCCTGTTGATAAGCACCAGTTACACATGTTG